ACTAATCTTACTATCTTACCAATATTATAAGTGCAAAAGTTTAGAGGTTGGATGTTTATTTGAAGGTATCTCCGGAACGAAACGAACATCCAGGTCAGCGTGGTTGACTATGGTCTAATCACCCTTAACTTAGGGTAGGCTCCGAGCCCCTCGGTTGGGACTTATAGTCAGCTGATGATGATGATCTCCGGAAAGGCTCAACGGAGTTTGATGAAATTTGGAATATACAGAACATAGTTTGGAAGAACACATAGGCTACTAATTAAGTTTTTTTTAATGCCGCGCTGTTTTTTTTAATAATCTCTCAATTTTTCTACAAAAGTATATATTCACTCTTATTATCTTTAAGAAGAAAATAATCCTTGTATAAGAAATTCTTTTTTGTTCTTTACAGTTTATTACAAACTTCAATAAATAAGTCAGCTTTCTGTTTATCCTGAGTTTAAACTTAAAACAATGCTATTTTTATGCAAATTACCATAGCTTCATGTAATGTATACGTTTGCTTCATTACACGTTTCGCATTACGGTGATATTAAAAATGACAGAACAATTAATGCAAAGTTTGTTCCATGGACATTATTGCTAATATAAATTAATGTAAACGCAATTTTATGCAATATTTGACTGAAATACGACCTGATCAAAAATCTTCTTAATTATTTTACTGAAATTATAAATACTAGTGTTCAGATGGATGGATGGATGGATGTTTGTTTGAAGGTATATCCAGCTCATCGGATTTTGATGAAATTTGGCATAAATTATGTAGAACATACCTTATTTTTAATACCGCGTGGACGGGATCGCGGGCGACAGCTAGTGATTATTAAAACTTAATTTGTGTTTTTAAACCAAAGGTAACTAAAACACTGTAAAGAAGTTACATTCACAAAATGCGTATTAAGACATTTGATTATAAATATCCACTATACATTATTTGTTTGAAGATCAAATTAGTTTTTAAACTCAACAACCTTCATGTCATCAATTTAAAATTGTAAAAGTAATCTCCATTCAACGTCTACATCACAGTAGCTTCAAATTGAACCTTTAAAAACGCATCTATCAATTCGTTTTATTACCAACAGTGTATTGAACTGTTGAAGACCTTTATTTTCTACTCATTTAAGTGTAGCCATTTGAAGGTTATTCAAAGGTCACTTGACAACAAACAACCAAACTTGTCACATGTATAAACGCTTAATTTTAGCCCATAACATAGTTATAGACCATAAGTGGGAAGCGAATATAATTCTTTGACTGTACGTGCGTGTCATTTTCCTTTGAACTATCATACGACCTGCGCATGCGCTGGTTTTGTAGCATTAATGTTAGAGTAAAATGGGTCAAAGTTGTGGCCTGTGAAAGTTTACAATAACCCTGGTAATGATGGATGCAAGAACCACGTCCAATACAATCATAATTCAAACGTACTCAAGTACTACGTCTTTACTTGACGACATAATGTATCTTTTCAACCAACATTGTAAACGTCTTTACAAATGCTTATAAAAAACAAGCTATCGCCCAACTACGTCCGCGCGATATTAAAAAAAACTTAAATAGTAGACTATGTTCTTCCAGACTAAGCTCTACATCTATGCCAAATTTCAGCGAGATTCATACAGCCGTTCTGGAGATACCTTCTAACAGACAACCATCCATCCATCCAAGCATTTGCATTTATAATATAATATTAGTGAGATTGCTGTTAATTCGCATTACATTTCACAGAGTAAAGACTGTATTTTTAATTACTAATTGACAATTATTATACAGCGTGTTTCAAAAAGTTTGTGGAAAGAAAAATATTTTAAGTCTTTATTATTTGTATAGGTTAAATCTAGACTTAAAATTGAGACGAATCTAGTCTAAATAATTACACGCAATAACACTTTTATTTGCCAACATTAAGAGTAATACAAGTGATTGTATATAAACGGTTAGTCCGGTCTAGAATCTAGACAGTAACAGGCGAAGGTCAGACCACGTAGATAGTAAATTGGAGCCATTTTGTAACGAACCTTTTAATAAAACATTTGAAACGCTTTATTATAGGGTTCATTATAAAATTAAACGATCCGTTGACCAGCAAGGGGATCGATCGAAGCGTGTCTTAAATAAAAAAAGTAATTATTGTCTAGACGTGTTATTTTTCCAGCTGTTGTACGAGAAAAAAGAGTATACTGCAGCCAAAGCAATTTGAAACGTACATCATTTTAGTAATGGCGATTTTTATTCTATATTTAAATGGTTATTTAAAATATTAAATTAGCGTGGCAAATGAGCGACCGGCTGTCTGAATTCGCTGAAATAGCGAAACAATTACTACCTATAGATATTCGCAATTGCAGATGCGTTGCCTTCGACAAAAGAGGGGCAACGTCGTGATATTGCCATGCAATACATTTCTAATGTACTCCCGTGGTATTTTAGAAATTTATCTGCGAGCTAAACTAATGCAGTTTTGTCATCTCTACACAAGTGAGGCTAATGGAAATGAGAAGACACTGCTTTAAATATTATTAGAAAGTGTATTTTAATGAGTTGTGAAAGAAAATAGCTAAACCATGTGACAACTAACACATGCTTACTATAAGTAGTATATTATATTGCAGATATTTTATATTATATATGTAGAAAGTATTGTAATATTCAAACTTTATGGAATCTCGTTTAGCTACGCACATGTCTGTCAGGGCTTTGCCCTGTTCCTATATCCCTTTAGGTCCGGCCAATATTATGTATTTCGCAATACCATATAATGTGCTGTAAGCCAGTATAAAGTTTTGATGGCACTATACTCTTTAGAAAGTGAGTTGTGTATACATAGAGCTATATAGCTTATACGCAACGAAACCGCATAATGTGAACGAACAACCGCAATAACTAGACACCCCAAACACACGTAAGGTTTTCGAAACACTTTATTAGATTCGGTCGCATTGTGGTCGTGACGCGTCGTGTGGGGTAAGTGGAGACGAGATGCCGTCATTTGCACACCATTGTTACCCAATTGACTATCAACGTTCATATTTGTTTACCAGATCAAGTATAGAAAGTATGTTCGTTTAAAATTTTAATAATAAATACAAGAAATTGATGTGACGAAATTTATTATCTTACCAGCTGTCGACCGCGAGTCTATCCGCTCGGAATTATAATAATAAGAATTAAATTAGTCTATGTTTTCCTTCACTATGCCAAATTTCATGGAGATTCATGCGAAAAAGATAAAAATTAATCTTAAAACAAGTACTTCAGAATATTTCCTAAACCAATATTATGTTAAAATTATTATGTATTTAAACACCTTGATAAAAACCTACGGCATAGATTAGGCATTTGATTACAAACGTAAAACATTTGATTTTCCGTAATGTATAAATAATAGGCTCATTAGATCTTAATGTCGAATTTATCACGAAATTCAAAGCCGCACTCCTCAACCCGTAACGATCGACCTTCGCCACAAGTCGCATACAAACATAGTTACCCTAATTGTCGGTCTCAGCTTTTTTTAGAGAATATGACAGAGATATAACATATCGTAACCGTAACCTCATATAAACGATGACGTATTATGAATAAACAGACAAGTCCTGGTTTCACACGGATAGCAAAGTTTGCATTATTTCGCCATACTCTGTGCCTACGTAAAGCTTTTAAAGTAAAGGCGATGATTAAACTTTTAACTAACATTTAAGTTCTGTGCATTTCCTCTGTCGATTAAATGTAGGTAACGCATCTGTAATTGCATATTTCTATGGGCACCGGTAGATTCGTTATTTCGGATTCAGGTAGCCGCTTGCTCGTTTGCCACCTTTTAATATCTTACTAATATTATAAATGCGAATGTTTAGATGGATGGATGGATGTTTGAAGATATCTCCAGAACTGCTGAACGGATGTTGATGAAATTTGGCATACATAAAGAAGATACTCTGGAAGAACATATAGACTAAGGTTTTTTTACACCGCGCTGGCAACAGAACAGTCCTAATAGTTTTCTTGGGTTGATAAACCGGCAAATTATTCAAGTATATTTATCAAGTTTATCAAACATTTATATCCGTATTATGTGTTGCTATATCGTAATTCTATCCAAGCGACGACCTTAATTTCATAATATAGATCATTACAATGACAATGATGACATACGGTACGAAAGGTCATTGCGTTTTGTAATTGCTCCAACTCAACGTAATAGAGCAACGTTGCTAAATTTCAGCAAAAGCAAACGCGCACCAAGAATTTGTATTACGATATAACAATGATAAAATGATTCATAAAGAATAAAGACAGAGATTTATTATCTGTGTTACATAAAATATGATTTCTATAGAACCTGTTTGGTGAACTATATGATGCTAAGTCTGGCGCTTTGTGTGTTTTTTTATATCACTGATTGCTTTATTGATTGCTTAAGAGAGAATAGATTATTGTACGAATGATAGTATTGGTATAGTTTTGTTTTTAATTCCTTAAACAAACTTTGATGAGCCAACCATTAGAGCAGTTTAGATGAAAAATGTATAAAAGATGAAGTAATGCAACTATTTAAACAAGAAGCTTATATTGGCTAAGACAAAATTAGATACCACTCACAACGGTTGCTCAACAAAGAATCCCCAACTATCGTGACGACATTCTGATTGTGGCCTATTAGCATGCAAATGCCGTTTGCCTTCTCTCCTCTTTGCTATGTTTACTGCAAATCTTTAAAACCTTGTCGCATTCCTTAACAGTTAGTAAAGGGGAAAATACTTGTTTTAAAATTAAAATATCGCTTCTAAATATCAATGATTTTGGTCAAGGTTGTTAATTATTCTAATTAGGTTTACTCCATTTCGCTTAAATCTACGTTTTTTTATCGAGAAAACCTTCAATTTAAAGTTTAAAGTGCTTTTTACGATTGTCCCAATTATAAACATTTTAAAATCTTCGCTCCTTATTCGTTATATTTGGATATAGTTAATATTAAAACATTCACTAACCTTTCAACAAGAGGCTGCACGTTGTCCAGGAACTCAAAACCGGCGTGTGTAGTATAAGTTATAGTTTCATGGCACAGTATTATTCCATGGTCAGCACGCACATAATTTTTCAACACCCAAAAGTCACCTCTTTGTATAGTTTGAGGAAGGAAATCTTTCTCGTTGCAGCCGAGGAGCGTCCGTAGTCGCGCTAGAGTTGCGTCGGTCAAGGCATTCTCATCCACAATATCAAGTATCGTTTCATTTGTCGTTTCTGGTTCGGATGGCACTATACTAAGTAGTTTTTTCTCTAGTTCTGCAATCGATGCTGTACTGGATGCCGTTTTATTAGTTGTCGCCATCGTAGAAGGCGTCTTCTGGGACGTTGATTCTTCGATGTTTTTTACACTCGACTCGATAGGTCTAGTTTCAGTTTCATTCCGCACCTCATCTCTGTTGAGGTATCGGAATTCTGCAGTCCTTTCGGAGCCGTCGACCGTGATAGGAACCCATTCGACTCCCGGCGCTCCGTTGCCGGAGAGATGTAGGGCCGCGTACAGCAGTACGACAATATTAATGACGATACTCACTCTAAAGACAAAGTTACGTCGGTTTCCCAACATCATTATAACAATTTAGGCACTTGCACTTAATATGTAACTAGTTGTGCTACAACGTCCTCCGTCGTCCTCTAGGACGCAATTTCCTATAGGGTCCTGTACGTGTCAGCATCACAATTTATTGTGTCATCAGCGCGCGTGTGGAGGTAGACGCCACGCCGACGCCTCGCGCTCCTTCTTTTTCTGTAACAAACAAATGATGCATCTTAGAACATTCTTGACGACAATGGTGCAAGAAGAAAATCTAGTCAAGGTAAATAACAATATAGATACTTTTGATCTTGCATAGGAATGTCGCCTTCTGTATTGTGCAATACGTCGTCAAAGTTTTAACTGAATCATTTATTTTCCTCTAGCATTGAGGAATTTTCTTTATTTTACAATTATATGTCAATGTCAAAAAAAACTTCCAAATGATTTTTTTACATAATTATTGCAAAAGAAGAATAAAACCTTCTTTAGTAATACGCCTGTTTAGCGTAAATCCTCGTATCTTATGGATAACTAAGCAATTATTCATCGGAAATTGAAATGATTTTATTTCTAACTGGTTCTTAGAAATTTACTTATATCAATGCGTAGTTTAAGAAAAAATCAGTTGAATCGTCTATGGAAATTTATAAAAATAATTTATAGAAAGCAATACACCTATAAATTTGCAGAAATATTAATTCGCGTTAATACACTAATAAGTATTCTAAAGGCATTAGTGGTTGCGACTGATGCGGCAATGCAACGGGTTTACTGGTTATTCTTTAATTAGCAGGTCGTGTCCTGATTAACGTTATCAGTGAGAGATCGTTGTTGTTGAGATAAATATCTCCGTCGAACACAGAACTACCGACTCGGATATAATCTATGAACCAATCACGTCCCAGCTTACATTTTAAACCCCATTTCCACCATGTGACTAACAGCGCGACTGCTATATCTATGAAGAGTTAACGAGTTTGTATAAGAGGTAATTCCACTGGTGCGGCCTTATCTGCCGTAGTGGCACATTCGCGCGGCTAGTTGCTTAGTGTAACATGGATCTTAGATATTATCTGTGGCGGCCATTTAGTTCAGCTATCAAGTGTGCTATTTTTACAACGACGAGTTCACACGTTTTGTTTTTATATTGATTCTAATGTTGTCTAGAAGATAACATGTGGTTAAAAGTTGTTTTTATTCTCCATTAATTAAGGCCTATACATGTATGACTCGGTTATATCAGGTTATTCGCATTTATTATAGTTATGAGTGTTAGGCATTTTAAATAAGTTTTATAGGAAAGTTTCTAATATAAAATATGTACTTTTTCCTAGTGTGAAGCAAATCATAAAATTATTATAAAAAGTCAAAGAGAAATAAATGGTAATTTATTAAATAAATGCAGTTGCAAGTTCTATATTAAGTCGTTAGAATTTGCATAAAACTAGAGTTAATGCTCTCAGACATGACCGCTTATTAAAGACGAGGAGCAAAAAGTGTTCGTAGAGCGACATATTAACTATATTCAATAATAGGAATTATAAAAACCGCTGCAAAAGCAGTTTAATTTCACGCTATGGTAGTCGAATATAGAGTGTTACGCTCTATATTACTCTACATTAATGTTACACTCTATATTAGTGTTACAATGTATATTCAATCCTTTTTTTATAATGATTTTTATACGAATAATATGTGTTAATAATTAATCTATATATGTCTATTAATAAGAAATCTACATGCTCAATATTTTACTCTTATTTTAATAAATTTTAGTGTCGATACGAACACAACTGAAAAACCAACAACTTAGGGTTGTTGGTTTCTAATTATACTTATTATATTTTAACCAATTACATTTTTTCTCTAAAGGTTCATATTATTATTTCTGTTTTATATCGTAACTTCCGTTCCCATGAAATAAAAAAGGTAATTCGCATTTACGGAATTCAATTCGAAAAGAGCTATTTAACATTTTTTAGCTTCACAAGACGCCGACTAGTGCATCCTTGTTCCATTCAAGGTAGTACTTTGAGAATTAACGACCTGATATAAGATTTATGTGCGAACGAAATAACCTTCCATGGGGGATTGTGGGTACTATAAGATTTTTTACTTCAAACACTTTAAGTACTCACAGTTTTTATATGTCTTAAGTGGTTTAAATGAATAGCTGTTTACTTTGCAATTATTTTTTTCGTCAAAATTTTATTTACAAATTAACTATCGCCCGTGACTCCGTCCGTGTATAATTAAAAATAAACTAATAGCCTATTTGTTTATGCAGATTATGTTCTTCATCTGTGCCAAATTTCATCAAGATCCATTGAGCCGTTCCAGAGATACCTTCTAACAAACATCCATCCAACCATCCATCTATCTAAGCTTGATTGTTGTTTGTATGAATAAGGAAAAATGAGTTCAATAATGTGACTACTAACAAAACCAATCATCTATCTGTGTGGTTTTGTTTTTTACCTCTGTAAGAACATAAGGAAAAAGGGATAAAAAACTCGTAATTCAAAATGTGGTCAGTAAAGGTCAAATGGGTGACGAAGGTTTTAGCACACTGACTTAACGGGTAAGGTATTTTCTTGTATTCTTGTATCACAGATGTTTAATCTTAAACGCGGTGGGATGTGACGGCAACGTACACCGGCCTTGAGTACCTAGGTAATCGCAGTCAAGCGTGGAAGCCGAGCCACCAGCAGCGGCATAATAGTTATTAGATTAGATGACCACAAGTTAGCGGTTAAAAGTAACGAAGTAACCGTGTCATAATCTAACAGATCTAAAGCTTGGTTTACATCGACAAGTGCTAGAGTTACCAAAACACATAAGTAATGTGTGCTAAACATTTTCAATATTTGCTACACTTTATCGAGTTGAGTTTAAATTTCATAAGCTCCATTTACAATGGCCTTTTAGCGGTCAGCAAATAATGCAGTACCTTCCTACTTCCTTGCGTTACTTTGTCACGAATGGTCGACACAATGGGTCGTAAGGCGCTCCAGGAATTCGCCAAGAGTGAATTCTATTCAGTTTTCTCGGCAACGTGAATGTAAACGTTTGCGGTTTGACACGCCGCCGGTTGAACTAACTGTATGCCTAATTTAAAGAAGAAATGTTACCATTTCGCAATACTAGCACCTATGAGACTGTAAGCGTCGGTCGCGTCGGTGGCTCAGGGGTCAAGCACGGTCCTGGGTTTGAATTCCGCCATGTACCAATGTGTTTTTCGATTTCCGATTTACATATGTGCATTTATCCGACGTTCTTACGGTGAAGGAAAACATCGTGATGCAACCTGCACATATCTGAGAAGAAATTCAAAGATATGTGTGAAGTCAACCAACCCGCACTTGGACAGCGTGTTTGACTATGGGCTTATCACCCTTAACTGAGGGTAGGCTCCGAGCCCCTCGGTGGGGACGTATATTGAGCTGATGATGATGATGAGACTGTAAATAATTATAGACTCGGCAGCTAAAATTATTCAAGATAGACAATACCCAATTATATAATTACAGACGTACGCTTCACCGAAGGTCGACAAAGTTTAGGTTTATTAGTGATAACTAATAATAGTTTTTATAAGATGAGCATAGTAGTAACAATCTTAATAATATTATAAATGCGAATGTTTGGATGGCTGTATATAGGGATGTTTGTTTGAATGTATCTGCAGAATGGCTGCATGGATCTTGCTTAAATTTGTCATAGTGGTAGAATATAGTATGGAAAAACACATTGGCTATTTCTTTTAATACCGCGTGGACGTAGTCGCGTGCAACAACTAGTGTTTGTCTGATAAACATAAACAAATGTAAATAAATTTGTATACGTCATTACGATGAATACAAACCCATCTTATTTGAGTTCTAACGCAATGTTATCTCAAAGGACGATGTTTGCTCATTTGACTTGCATGATCTAATTGTGGTCTGGGTTTACACTACCTGAGAATGTTTATTGACTATATATTTCAAACTAGCTGTCGCCTACGACACCATCCGCGCGGGAAAAAAACATAATTAACCTATGTGTTCTTTTAGACTATGTTCTATATGTATGCCAAATTTCATCCATCTAAACATTCGCATTTATAATATTTACATTAGTAAGATAGTAAGATAATATGCGTATTCTGTATAGATAGTCCGAAGGTTATTTTGTATAATTAATTAGCCTTTAATAACTAGCAATAGTCTTGAACTTTAATTTAAATGCGACATACCTTTTTAATGCATGATTTAGTTTGAATGAATGGATTTCCCCGTGCTGCTTTTTATGGGAAAGATTAACTGACTAAATGCGGAAAAGCATTCTTATAAACAGGCAATACTTTAACGAACGACACTGTTAAGTGGAATTATTAAAAAAAAACATTGAAAGAATACAAAAGGATATTCGTTACTGAATATATAATAGTTATGTGTAAGTTTTCATATTGTTGTTAGCTTGTTAGGACTTCAATTTTTCTACATTTTAAAATTACAATACATTTAAAACGTTCATTGAAAACTTAACTATCAATTAGTGTAACATATCCGCTTATTGTTAAGAATGAGACGTGTGCCCGAAGCGATAAGTTACTACAATAGCGTATTCATCACAGCAGACAGTTGCGCCATCTTGTATCGAAGCAAGTCGACCTTCGAACAGAGAAAGTGTTACACTATGCTGAACTTGCCGTGGGTTTTCACCGAAACATTCATATATATTGTTATCTCTGTTTATTTCATAGATATGGACAGGGATGACGGTATGGATTTGTATTTATAGAAAGCCCACAAAATCGCCCACCAAGCTGTGGCAAACGAGCAAGCGGCTACCTGAACTCACCGAAATTGCGAAGCTATTTCTACTTAGGAAACGTACCCATACTACGTGACCCGTTTAGGGGTGGGGGAGTCCTTACAATATTAACAATATTATAAGGAGGATAAATATTAACAATACTACGGTCATTCGGAAGTATATATATTACATCTTATCAAAGTTGACTATTTAATGTTTATAATGATTCAGTTATTCGAACTGTTAACCAATAGGTTACCTACTTATTATGAAATAGTGATAAAATTTGGCAGGAAAAATCCCTCTTAATCACCGTACATAGATGGACAAGGTTCGCCATTGACTGATTGCGTCACGAAGGAATCGTCACATGGATGGAAATGTAATAGATTTTGTCAGCAAAGTCCACC